TTCAATTCTTAAAAAAAATTTATATATCTTTCCTTAAATTTGATCAATTTCGACTTTAAAACAAAACAAATTATAAAACAACAAAATTCATAAGAATTCATTAATCCTTAAAATGTTATAACAATTAAACAACTAATCATATAATCATTTAATTTAATAAAATTAACAAATATTAATAATATTCAGTGTTACATAGCCTTGAAGTGTACCACATGCAATGATATCAAATACATAAGCTGAACACTATGAAATTATGAAAGAGTCTTACCAACCTAATAAGAAAGCACCAATCCAAATTGGCTGCCATTTTTTAGTAGTCACGAGAGTTTGAGTGTAGAAACGTCTTAGCTCCCTATTGATTAATGTTTATAAAGAGTTTTAAAGTAAACGATACATGTGTGAAATTGGGAAGGAGCAGATTGACAAACAATATTTCTTTCATGAAAAAAAGCTCATCAAGTGTGAAAATATATTAATTTTACACAAATAATTTATGTACTAGATTTTTAAATTATTATTCGATGACAAATTATCATCTATGATAAATTTATTATTTTTTTAATAATTATATTATCATAATTTTTTATTAGATGATAATTAATATAAAAATCCTCAATTAAACTGTAAATAAAAATAATTTATATAATTAAGGATTTGTTGATAACTATTTCATAATATGTCTTTTTAAAAAATTTATTGATTATTATATTCACATCATCAATTAAATTAATTCACGTACCAAATAAAAGAATGCTTTTCATCTAACAATGAAGATTTATGTAACAATTTATTTTTAGCAAAAGACTTTATGGAGGGACGGTGGTACTAAAATTATAATTTATGATCTCATCTATTATTTTAGTCTCTCATCTATTGATCGATTCTAATTAAACTGATTCTAACAATTCATTTAAAGATATCATCCAACAATCAAGATTAATTCATTTCACCTTTACTGTGCCTTTGGTTAACACTTGATAGGACTCTGCCGACCTGAAATGGGATCTTCATTATGATTTGAATAGAAAGAAAGAAGAAAATGCCCCCCAACCACTTCCTTGGGTTAATTCAACCATTATAGTTTTCTTCCCGATTAATATTAAATTGGAGAAAATAGAATGGACCCCTAAAATAAGTAAACACCACCTTCATATATTAATCTTCATATAATAATTATTATAAAATTATTTAAATTTAACCAATAATTAGTTTCATTAGATATTTAGAAAAAATATATATATATTTATTATCTAAATAATATTATTTAATTTGAATAAGATTGTCTAATGGAAGATACATGTGATTTAAAAGAGGAAAAAAAAAGTAAAATTGATGTTTCGTGATTTGGTACGAAAGTATTAAGTATAAATACTATCGTATATTTAATTACGAGTAGCAAAGGTCCCCACATAGTCCCGTACATATCTGATTGTTTGCATTCATAATTGGCTGCTTGTGTTGTGTAGCATTCATTACAGTAATGAGCCATTTCACCGACTCATCTAATCTGCGGTGCGGCCCAATTACTTTTTTTTCTTTTTAAACTACCATTGACTTTCTTAAAAATGTAAACCACTATTATATTATTAGTTTCTACTCAGAAAAAATAATTATTAGTTTCTAAAATTTAAATTTAAATAATTTTTAAAAAAATTTAATAGTGTTACTTTAACAATATCTTTTTATTGTTATAATTTTGTTTGCTAAACATGTATGAATATTATTACATATTTTCTAAATTTTTATATTAATGTAATTAATGAATTGCACTTTAAGATTTATTTATTTTTTAAATTTTAAGAACTAATAGGACCACACAATATACTTTTCGGAGTTAAAATTAAAATGATAGTTTATTTAAAGCTTTTTTTTGCATAAAAAGTATTAATCGCACACGTCATTCATTATTCTTCTTGCTAAATAATGTCACCTCCTAAAAAGTACACAAATATAAAATATTTTATCAATAATTATTTCTCTAACGTTTTCCATTTTGTTTACAGGGACATACAGTGTAACACTCGTGGAAGATTTTATTGTGTAGACCAAAATAATGTTAAATGAAAATGATTACTTCTCTTTGAAAATGTGACATTTAGGACAAACCAATGATTAATTAAAATATAAATAAAGGAGCAACTTGAATTTTTGAGTAATACGATATGTATAGATGAGGACGTGACAGATAACGATAGCATCATCCTCCATGCATCTAGTATTTTTGTGGAGGAATTTTTAAAACGGGGAGCACTTCACACAATAAGTAGTGAGTAAGTCACATAAGTAAACTTAACATCACAACATAACCTAAAATCTTAAGACATTAGGTAGGTGAATCTTTCTCACTTATATGTTACTTAACATGTCCAACTTTAACCAATATGAAATTTCATTTCACACTTGAATTCCAACAATTTTAAGAACTTTAAGAATAATAATTTGACTTTTAAATAATGATCGGTACATTAATTTAATCTTCGAATGATTTTGTTTTAATACTAGAATATGTTGGTGTAAAAAAAAAGCACCACAATATGTAAAATTTACTTGATGGGGCTAAATTAAAGTGATATCTCTATTAAACGCCACCCAAAAGTCGTTATTTTAGGCTGCACAGAAACAAAGTCATTGTTTAGAGTTGATTTATCAGTAACTGGATATATAAAGCACTCGCTTAAGATTTCACTCATTTTCATTTTCATGGGGTCCCCAAGTTAAATGTCGTTAAACATCAAATTCAAGTCTAAATTGTTATCTTTATCAAGCCACACACACACAATATCATGGAAAAAAAAATCTTACAATTGAAACCATTTAAATATAAGAGTATGTAGAGTGCAAGGAATTTGTGGACTCATATATTTCTGAAAACAAAAGGGTTATTTATTTATTTTAGCATTATCCTTATTTAAAATCTTTAAAAATCAGAATTAATAGTTCAGCATATAAATGATTTATATATATAATAATATTTTAAAATAACTTATTTAACATTAAAATAAATTTTAAAAATTATATAATTATTCTAGTAAAATTATAAATATAGATAAGTTTTGTTAATAAGGTGAGGGGAAACTTCATATGAGGAAAAGATGGTGGAATTGGCATGGCACATGGTGGTAGCTAGTAGTGTCTTTCAATTCACGGCCTTTAGAGGTTTGACTAAAACATAAAAAATCATGATCATGAGAAAGAAAACATAGATTGGGTCACGCACGTTGAGTTGACACCCTAGTCCACCAGTCACGAGCAATGCCCAACATTTTCGGTTGCCATCTCTCTAAATTTCACACCAGGATAACGATTAATGATAGTTGCACGATCTTAGCCTCTTGCGTTTCTTCTTTGTCAAGTATTCTTCATTACGTGTCACCTTCAAATATTGTACATGTTTTTGCGCCTTCCTTTCGTTTCAGATTCAGTTTCCTTTCATTTCACATGCACCCATTTCATTAACAAGTTCGTTCCCTACTTTATTAATTCAATATTATTTTAATTTTGTTTTAAAATCACTAACTTTAAAATAACTAGGCAGATCGTTGTATGCACGCAAAACACAATGTTAGGTAAAAGAGAAGAAAAGCTTGTGTAAATAAGAGACTTGGAAATTTTCCTCACTAATTATGCGATAATTATATACCTTTGTTCCAATATCTAAACACATTTAGATATGCATGGTTGTGTAGATTACATATTTCGTGATATTTGAAAAGAAAACCGTTATTAAGTAGTCTCATAGTTTGGCTACCTAATCACTGTTACAATTTATAATTTAGCCAAAAACTAACCAAATGGCCATCAAGCTTCAGATTCTTTTAGTTATTAATACATCAAAAATGGATGAACCTATTTTGTAAATATCTAACCAATTTTTAATTTTAAAAAAATAATTAGGTTTCTAATCTTTTCTATTCTTTGTAATTGGATTCCTATAATATGTGATGATTTTACAAAAATTGGGAACTCAATTATAAAAATTATAGAAAATAAAAAACTTAATTACATTTTTTTAATTTAAGAATTTAATTAAAAAATTTGGGAAAAAAATGAAAAAGCTACAGAATTATTTTTGTTTTTTCTTACTAAACAAAAGCACACATGTTTCCTGATAGCCGTTGAATTGGGTGCAAGACGATAAACTTCTAATGCATGCTTGGTTAAAGAAAAAAAAACTTCTAATTTACTCTCATTAACACGGTGAGATTTATTGCTTTTTATTATTAATAAATTTTAAATTTACTTTTTAAAAAATAATTATGCATTTTTAGTCTTTTTATATTCTAGTTGTTATGTATATTATGGTAGAAAACTGATTCTGACATAGAATCTACAGTAACATGAATGAAAGCTTAAAACAAAATCTGAATGGACAACCATAGCAAATAAAAATCCCGTTGGATAAAATAGTATAGTACGACGCTGTGATGATGATGTCTACTATTCATTGGAAAAGAATGAATGAATTATTATCATATATAGTCCTGAATTAATCGATTGGTACCGATTTTTGTTCTCTTTTTACCCAGAAGAAACAAAAGCAAGCACGGCTGGCTTGCAAAGTCCAACGTTCAAATTTGAGGGAAATAATTGAAACCTATCTCTGATTCATGAAGTTTGTCATAAGGCACAACGCACAAGCACTTGTAGGGTACAGAAACAAACATGTACCTGCACTCACCTTAACAATCGCTCGTGACGTGTCCCTGTCGACAACGTTGTCCCAATGAGACGCTCCACGTGTAGGGTCAACAAGATAGCACACTCCAAGATCGAACGGACAGTTAAGCTAACATTCCCCAACCCTAAAGAAAAACACATTTCTCTGTCCCTAGTAATCCCCATTTTCTAACCTAACATTAGCGGTTCTAAATCTGAAATATTAGTGCATTGGTGAGTGGGTCTCCAACATGGGTCCCACACAGTGTAAAGTGAAAGCTCTTTTCCTTCAACCATCCCATTCCCTGCCCCACTCCTTTCTATAAAATTCCACACCCTCTCCTCGCAAACAAAATAACTGCTTCTCTCCTTTCTCTATACTCTCTACTCTGCATGCTCTGCTTCTCTCAAACTCAAACCAGTACCAGACCATAGCTTAGCATGCCTCCTCTCGCATTCCCCTTCTTCCTCCTTCTTATCTCACTCTCTGCTTCATCATCAGGTAATAACACCCCTTTAATTTGGTCCTATGTTAATTCATTCATTTGCATGCCCATAACCATAACCTCTAACTTGGTATGTTATTGTTACCATCTTCACTAAATTACACTAACATTCTTAAAATCATATAAACATAATTAATAGTGTGATGCATATATATCAAAGTAGGGACATTTATCATCATCTTATATATAAATCGGTTTCTTAACGTGGTTTTGCAGAAGCGGGATCGATCGGAATTAACTATGGGAGAGTGGCGAACGACCTACCTACACCGGCGAAGGTGGTGGAGCTTCTGAAGACCCAAGGTCTGAACCGCGTGAAGCTCTACGACACGGAGGCCACCGTCTTAAGCGCGTTTGCGAACTCAGGAATAAAGGTGGTGGTAGCGATGCCAAACGAGCTTCTCTCAAACGCAGCCGCGGACAAATCATTCACGGACGCGTGGGTCCAAGCGAACATCTCCAAGTACTACCCCGCCACGCAAATCGAGGCCATCGCCGTGGGCAACGAAGTGTTCGTGGACCCCAACAACACCACCAAGTTCCTCGTCCCAGCCATGAAGAACGTCCACGCCTCTCTCGCAAAGC